AGCGTGACCGAGCGCGGGCAGATGTTGGAGATGCCCAGGTTGGTGGGCGCCCCGGGGAGCTCTGCGGGGACACGGGGGACGAGGGTGATGGCCGTGGCAGGGGGGCTCCGTGGCAGCGCGGCCCTGCTCCGCGCGCTCACCTGGGGGCACCCCCGAGGAGATGGTGGAGGAGGAGAGCTGTCCCTGTCCCTTGGAGGTCATGGCGGCCACCTCGATGGTGTAGGTGGTGAGGGCGGTGAGGCCGGTGACGCGGTACTCCAGGGTGACGTTGGGCAGGTAGTGCGTCACCCGCGTGTTGGTGCGGTTGTACTCCTCCCAGGATATGCGGTAGCCTGCAATGCAACCCCGTGGCATCAAGTGGTGGTGAGTGGGACACCTGGGGATCCGACAACCCACAAGACACCCCAGGACCCACCTCACCCATGAGGACACCCCAGGACCCATCTCACCCATGAGGATACCCTGTGACCCATCTCACCTGGGAGGACGCCCTGGGACCCACCAAGCCACAAGACACCCTGGGACCCATCTCACCCATGAGGACGCCCAAGGACCCGTCTCACTGGTGAGGATGCTCTGGGACCTGTCTCACCCATGAGGACACCCCAGGACCCGTCTCACCCGTGAGGATACCCCGGGACCCACCATACACAGGACACCCTGGGGACCTGTGTCACCCATGAGGACGCCCCGGGACCCGTCTCACCCATGAGGATGCCCTGGGACCCACCACACACAGGACATTCTGGGGACCTGTGTCACCCATGAGGACACCCCAGGACCCGTCTCACCCGTGAGGATACCCCGGGACCCACCATACACAGGACACCCTGGGGACCTGTGTCACCCATGAGGACGCCCTGGGACCCGTCTCACCCATGAGGACGCCCTGGGACTCATCTCACCCATGAGGACACCCCAGGGCCCATCTCACCCGTGAGGACGCCGTTCTTCTCCGGCGGCTCCCTCCAGCTGACCCGCAGCGACGTGTCCAGGATGTCCCCGAAGCTGAGGTGGCCCACGGGGCCCGGCACTGCCGGA